CCCTTAGTGCTAATGGTATTATTTGGGACAGAATAGTGCTGGAGATCAGGGAGTTAGTTCTATGCCCTTTGCAGATACGTATACCAAATATTTGGGTCATTCTATTAAGTATTTTTTCGATATACTTTTTTTCGGTTGTCTCCGCCCAACAGCTAGCAGCATATAGTATTGTCGGTTCGACCACAGCTGAATAGATGGTTTTTATGATTTCAGAATTTAATCCCCAATGGGCTTTTGCCGCCCTGGAAACCATTTTGTAGATGTTGATTGCTTTTCGGCAGACGCTATCAAGGTGAGCCTTAAAATTTACATTATTATCAATTGTTAGGCCTAGAACTTTCATTTGATTTGTGTACTGTAATGTAAGTCCTTCAATGTGTAAACAAGGTCGGTGGTATTTCAATTTTTTTGTTATGATTATGGACTGGGTTTTTTGGGGAGCAAATCTTAGTTTATGTTTTTTGCCCCATTCCGTGATTATTCTTAGTGTTTCATTTATGTCTTTTTCTAGTTTTTGGCCATCCTTGTTTTTGGCTACGATCAGAATGTCATCAGCAAAAGCTTGTACGTGGGCATCTAGGTCCTTAGTTGCGTTAAGTAAGGGGTCGATAAGGATGTTCCAGAGCATAGGGCCGCAAGTAGAGCCCTGGATACATCCTTTATTTGTGGGTTTCCTGCATTCTTGCCCAGCATACCTAAGATGTATTTTTCTTTCGGATAAGTAACTGCTAATGAGCCTGACCATAGATTTATCTACATTTTTGGCGTGGAGTTCTTTAATTATGGCAGGCCACCATGCGTTATCGAACGCACCTTCTATATCTAACGATATTAGTACCACTATAGCTTTATTCTTAAGTCCTTTCTTTATAAGTGTAGTTGTATCAAATAGGGCATCCTCAGTACTTCTTTGGGGAGTGAAACCGTATTGTCTATTGTTAATTTTACCTTCCCTTCCTAGTTGCCACTGGACTCTATTTACAAAAAGTTTCTCTAGAACCTTACCTAAAACTGGTAATAACCCGATTGGCCTATAGGATTTTGCCAGGGAGTAGTCTTCCTTGTTAGGCTTGGGAATAACCTTAATTGTTGCTGTTTTCCATATTTCTGGGAAGTAGCCTAGTGTTAAGCATTTATTGTAAATGGATTGCAGGATTTCCGGGTTGCTTTCAAACGCAGCTTGGCATATATCTGATGTTAAGCCATCTTCTCCAGGAGCTTTCTTCGGACTCATATTCTTAAATATTTCTCTTATTTCAAGTTTTGTGAACAACTTGATGGCTGAAATGTCTTCATTTTTAAGTTTGCTTATTATTTGCTGTCTTTCTATTCTTATTTCAGTCTGCTGTACACTATCAGTGTCAGGGTTGTCCCATGGATAAAATGTATCAGCTAAATGGTTCGCTGATTCGACTTCTGAAAGGATTTTTCCATTTGAGTCACGGAGTAGTCTGTCCTGTTCTCTATTTGAGCAAGTTTTTAGGATCCGGTATGTTCTTTGCCAGAGAGACTCTTTTTCTTCTTTGTTGCAGAGATTTTTCCAGCTTTGAGTTGTAGCCTTTTCAATTGCATTAGTATATTCTTGTCTTGCATCTAAATATTGGTCTATTACATGTTTTCTTCTTAGAGGGTTTGCATTCCTTATTCTTCTTCTTTTCCTAATCATATCTGCTTTCTTTTCATTTATTTCGTTGTTCCACCATACAGGATCTTTTACTTTTCGCTTCTGTTTTTTCATTGGTATATTGTTATTACAGCCTACTAATATTAATTTTGTGTAGTTTTTTATTGTTTCTTCTAGCTCTTGTGGTGTGGTGATTTCGTCTATTTTCTTACTTATCGCATATCTACTAAGTTCTGTATTCAGTTCATTTTTCAGACTGCCCCAATTTGCCTTTTTGGTATTATAGATTCTTGTGCCATGTATATTGACTGCGGTATTAGAAAGCACTAATTCGAGATTGAATGAGACTAATTTGTGGCTTGAAATTGTGCAGAGTGATTCATCGACATACCAGTCTTTCAGTCTATGAAGTAGTGATGACGAGCAAGCGGTAATATCGATTATACTCGTGCATAATTTATTCATTCTATAAACAGAAAAAGTAGGTGTGGTGCCTACATTGAGGATATCTATATTCAGTTCCGCGAATGTTTCCATAATGAGTTTTCCTCTGCTGTCGTCTGTTTTGCATCCCCACCAGATGCTCTTTGCGTTGGCATCCCCTCCTATTATAATGTCATTTGTTGTCATGTTTTTCTTGTATCTCCTTATCACTTGTAGGTCTTCATCGATGTCTCCCTTCTGATGTAGATACATACTGATTACACCTATTTTTAAGTGACCAAGTTCTAACTCTACACCTACTATGTCCTCAGATAGGAGAGTAGGATTGATAATGAATTGAATTGTGGGATCGCTGATAACAATTGCCGACCTGACAGGTTTATCTCTATCCTTGGTAACTTTTTGTATGATTCTATACTGGGAACCCACAGTTAAATGAGCTTTGGCACCAACGTATGGTTCCTGCATCAAAATCACAGAGTATTCCTGCATCGTGGCTGCACGTAGGCACTCAAGTGTCGCCGCCCGCCCACGATCCAGGTTAATCTGCATGAATTTTATATGCTTCATTGTACTAGAAGTATTTTGGGGTCCTATATTTGTTGTTTCGTTGAATATTTCTTAACAATAGGAGACTGATGATCTAGCAATTTGGTCCCATTTTTGCCATTCTTGGCATTCTGGGCTGTATGCTGGATGCAAGAAGTTGTCCCTTTTAGCAATATTGCAGTTACAGCACTTAGGAGCATTATTGCGATTTGGACAGTCTCTTGTATCATGCTCCTCAGCACAATATCCACAACGTTGTTTGTTATTACAGTCTTTTGCTTTGTGACTGAAGCCAAGACATTTATAACACTGTGTGAGTGGTGATTGGTCGATGCAGGGAATGACTTGATAGCCAATTCGTAGTTTTTGATTTCTCAATTTTGACCACATTTGCGGTGAGGCTTCGAGTATAACATTATTAACCTCCCTAACCCTTCCTTTGATTCTGCGTAAGATTTTTATACTTTTTTGTTCCTCTGTTAACTCTTGCAGTAAATAGTCGTTCTGACTTGTGATGGCTTTAACAAGTTTAGTATCGTTTAAGTCATTTGTGACGCCCACGAGACGTAGCTGTGGGTTTTTAGTTACAGGTGTTGATACTGTTAGCTTATCACAAGTATCACGAATTGCAGTTTTAAGCAGATGTCTGTCCTGCTGGGAGTCGCAGCTTATTATAACTTTTTGATTTTTTAGTTTAGATATTTTATTAACACGTACTCCCAGGTCGACAGGGTCCACATCTTTTCTAACCTGTTTTAAAATATCATCACATGTTGAGCGGGGATCTATGGACTCAATAATCATTGCATAGCGGGGGGTATTAGTTGCTTCTGCATATGTTTTTTTATTGTTAGCTAATACTTTAGTATGTTCGTTTTGCTTTATGCTTTTAATCTCTTCATCTATGGTATTGTTATTGTGAGTGATATTTTTGAGTTCGTTAATTTTATCCTTAATTTCTGTTATAGCTAATTCAGTTCCTAGTCCAGTATTTCCTTGGAATGCTATTTGGGTGGTATTGAAGTCTTTAAGATCGTTAATTTCATTGAGAACCGTGTTCAAGAGACGTGTTATCGGCTTTATTGAGTTCTCTAGATCTTCTTTTATAGATAATGTCTCTTTATTTTCTCTTTCCCGCGTTAAATTTGTGGTATGGTGTCTTTGTATTATTTTTTTTTGTGTCCTCGAGCTCCGCAATTATTCGATCTATTCGGGGGTCTGTATGTGTGCTATTTTTCTCACAATAGGATCTTTCAGTCTCCAATTCTATTTCTTTATTTACTAATTTCTGTACCACGAGGCTGAGGTTGGTTATTTTCTGGTTCAGTTCTGATATTTCTTTTATCAGAGATACATAGCTTTCAGTACATTTATCTGACTGGGCAATAGGTGTTTCTTTTGTTGGTAATGGTTGAGTCTTTATTGCAAGGCCATGTATTTCTAACTGGATTTTACTGATTGCCTTAATGGGTTCATCCATCTCGTAGCTAAGCCAAGAACGTATTGACTCAGCAGTTTTGCCCGTATCTTTTATGGCTTCATATGTCTCTGCGAGCTTGTTATAATGTAAGGTTCGAATTTCAGCCAGTTCTTTATTATGGGCTCGTTCGACACGTACCAATTCTTTCGCGGCTCTAGATCTTTCTTGTTCCGCTGCAAGCCGGTGCCGAGAGCGTGAGTCAGATAGCGACAGCACAGTTTCATAAAGGCCCTGGAGGCAGTCATGAACTTCGCTTTTACACTCCTTTTTCATGTTTCCTACCTTCTCTAGGGCTTCTTTACCAGAAAGCAGAAATTCGTTTGCTCTCTGTGTTGCTAGGTCCATAGAGATGCCTGCACGTTTATATGCTGGTGGTAATATACTGGACCTTTTACTGTTGTCGCTGACTATGCTATCGCCATCCGACCATTCGTCCTCCGTCTCTCGGACCGGCTTGCAGAGGCCCAAAGCAACCAGCTCTTTGTCAATATCCATTGTAATCGAGCTGCCACTTTCTGCACTTGGTTTTGTAGGTCCGCTACTACCTCCAATGTTTGGTCCAGTTGGAGCGGTGCCTATGAATTTGGTTTCACTCTCCACTATCGCAAGATCTCTGGTTTCTTGGTCATCTTCAGGTGCTCTTCCAGATGTAGATGCGTTTTGAATTAAAACCTTTTTGCGCAGAGCAACACTGGGTGTAGGACTTCCTCCTCTACTTGTTTTGGTAGGCCTTGTTTTAGCAGAGCTAGATCCCGAAGAACCAGATTTGCAGGACATTTTTTTTTTGTTCCGGCTGGGGTCACTTTATCTGGTTTATATTAGTAGCTTCCGATTCCTCTGATGATTCCAAGAAATTTAAGCCCAAACTCCACTAGAATACGTTGAGCTGTACCAGAGTTATAATTAGTTGAAATATATAGTTTTGACTATCTCTGAGTTAAGACCCCAGTTGGCTCTTGCTGTTCTCGATATGGTTTTATAGATGTTTAGTGCCTTTCTGAGAACTCCATCTAAATGTTCTACGAAATTTAAATTTGTGTCAAAAGTAACACCAAGTACTTTCAGACTCGAAGATGGTTTGATAATGATATTATTCATTTTAATTATAGGAATTTCATAGGATAGCTTTTTTGTGATTACTATTGCTTGAGTTTTATGTGGTGCGAAGTTCAATTTGTGTTTTTTCCCCCATGCCATTACTTGCTCTAAAGCTGGATTTAATTTTTCTTCTACTGCATTAGCTGAATGTCCTTTTGCAATAACAAGTATGTCATCCGCATACGCCTGTATACGGACATTTAGTTTTGAAATTGATTCGAGAAGGGGATCTAAAAGAATATTCCAGAGGATAGGTCCACAGGTAGACCCTTGTATACAGCCTTTGGTGGTTGATTTTGTGACTTCTGCTCCTGCATACTTTAGTAAAATGCTTCTAAATGACAGGTAACTAGTGACTAACCTTAGAATCTCTGGACTAACCTTTTTCCTTTTCATTTCTCTGATTATTTGGGGCCACCAAGCATTATCAAATGCCCCTTCTATGTCAAGAGATACCACTACAACGATCATTTTTTCTTTGATGCCCTGTCTTATCACCGTCATTGTATCATATAAAGCGTCTTCTGTACTGCGCTGAGGCATGAATCCGTATTGCAAACTGTTGAGTTTATCTTCACTTCCTAACTGCCATAGAAGTCTCCCTACAAACAATTTTTCTAAGATCTTCCCAAATACCGGTAGTAATCCAATAGGTCGGTATGATTTAGGTACTGAATAATCATCTTTCCCCGGCTTTGGAATGACTTTTATAACAGCCTTTTTCCAGATCTCGGGGAAGTGCCCTAATTCTAGACACTTGTTGAAAATTGCCTTCAGCGTTGACGGTGAAGTTTTGTAAGCCTCATAGCAGATGTCTGATGTTATACCATCTTCTCCTGGTGCCTTTTTAGGGTTCATTCTTTGTAGTACCATTTCTATTTCTTCTTCGGTGAATTCCCGAAAACTAATAGAGTCATATCTTAGATCTTTAATAATTGCATTCGATTCATCACGAACTTTTCCTTGTTCTTCAGTGTCCTTATTTACTTCATCTTCAGGGTAGAATACTTTAGCTAGTAGCATAGCTGAATCATTCGGATTTAGAGTTTTTTCTCCTAAACGCAAAAGTTTGTCTTCGCTTATTGTTGTGCATTTCCTAATAATTCTGTAAATGCTCTGCCATATTGTCTCTTTTTCCTGCTTTGTACATAGCTGCTTCCAGCTCTCAGTAATTGTAAACATTATGTTACTCACATATTTTTCTTTAGCTGCTGTAAATTCTTGGATAAGGAAGGGTTTACGCCTAGTGTTCGCAAATCTTATTCTTCTTCTTAATCTTATTAATTCTCGTCGTTCAGCTTCTAACTCCTTAGTCCACCAGGGTGTGCAGGTTGTGTTAATCTTTTTAGAGATAGGTGGTATTGCCCGTTTACTAGCAATGCTGACTTGTTTGATGTATTTGTCTAATATGTCTTCCAAATCATTTGTTGTTTTTATTAGATTAACTTTTATTTCAGTAATTTTGTCATTTTCTAACCCTTCTTTTAAAACATCCCTAAAAATTGACCAATTTGCCTTAGCGGTGTTAAATAAACGTGTGGATTTTCTGGGGGAAGTTTTCTGTCTATCTATGATAATGTTTATTTGGAATTGAATTGCTCGATGGTCAGAAAGTGTAACAAAGTCTGGATCTACTCTCCATTTCTCTACCTTGTGTAGTAACGAAGATGTACAAGCGGTTACATCCACCAGACTGCTATAGAGTTTTCCAGCTCGATACTGATAGAATGTAGGGTCGTTTCCTTGGTTTAGTATGTTCATGTCCATTTCTGCTATCATTTCCGATAAGTGTAATCCCCTCCTGTCTTCCTCTCTGCTACCCCACCAAGGACTCTTTGCATTGAAGTCCCCTGCCAAGATGATGTCCTCGGTGTCCATGTTCTGTGCAATTTTCACAATGTTTCTGATATCTTCATCTAGATCCCCATTTTTTTCCAAGTACACATTAAGTATTCCTATACTATGGTTTCCTACTTTAATTATAAAGCCTACTATATTTTCACTTATGTATTCTGGATTTTCTATAATTAAGTACGTGGGATCAACAACGATGACTGCCGATTTAACCGGTTTATCAATTATGTTATTCACTTTTTGTATAACGCGGCGATTACAAGTAACATGCCCTTTTGAACCAATATATGGTTCTTGCAGTAAGAGAAGTGTAATTTTTTGGTTGACGGCCATTTGTAAAGATTCTTTATATGCCGCCATTCCTCGTCCTAGATTAACTTGCACGATTTTTACAGTTTGCGTGTCTTCTGGCATATTATTTATAATGTTTATGCTCATCTGTGTTTGTTCGATGTCATTTGTCTGATCTACTTTAGCAGTATGCAACTAAGGATCTCGCTATTCGGTCCCATTTCTGCCATACTAAGCATTCAGCACTGTATGCTGCGTGACTATGGTCCCCCTTGACTTTATTTTTAATGCAATTCGCACATGAAGGTGCTCCGTTATTTCGTGGACATTGTCTGCTGTCATGTTCGCCTGCGCAATAACCACAGGTTGATTTATCAGCTGCACACTCGTTTGCTCTATGTCCGAAACCCATGCATCGATAGCACTGGACTATAGGTGACTGATCTATAGCTGGGACTATTTGGTAGCCCACATGCACCTTTTGGTCCTTAAGGGCCTTCCATACCCAAGGGCTTACTTCGATAACTATGTTACTAACTGCTGCTGTGCGGCCTTTTATTCTTCTTAGGACCTTAATCTTAATATCATCTTTTTCTATATCTTTGAATAGCTTCACGTTCTGCTTTACGAGTGCTTCCTCTAATTTTTTATTATTGAGATCGTTCGATATTCCTAGTAACTTTATAAGTGGGTTTTTAGTAGATGATTTTGACACTGTGAGTTTTTTGGCAGAATTTTTGATCGCACTTTGTAACTTACTTCGATCCTCTTCTGTATTGCACGTAATGACCACCTTTTGATTTCTGACTCTTCTGACATTATTTACTCCCACTCCTAGTTGCACCACGTCAATATTGTCTTTAATGGTACTGACAACATCTTCACTTGTGTGCCTAGGGTCGGAGGATTCAATAAGAAGAGCAAATCGAGGTTTGATGAGAGCTTCGGCATACGATCTTGTTGGACCGACAATTTGCTGTTCTTTGGTCGCATGATTATATTTATTGTGGTCGTTGTCCTCCTTAAGTGGACTGCAGTTGCATACTTGTAAGTTGTCAAGTTTTTCTCTAATCTCTGCTACTGCTAGCTCGGTACCTAGGCCAGAGTTATTTTGAAATGCCCACTGACTTGCTCCATGTTCCTTGAGTTCTTTTATTTCATCCGTTAATATTCCTATCTTTTGCGAGATAGGCTCTATGGCGACTGTGAATTTGTCTGTGGATATCTCCTGTCGGGATGTGTTCTGAATTTGTGCTTGTAATTCCTGCACAATATTTTTCATGTCACATGTATCACTAACAATGGAGTCTAATCGAGGGTTTTTAAGTGACTCAATGGCCTGAGTGATACATTTCACATCTGTTTTCTGGTTTTCCAAACTGTTTTTAAGGTGTTGAACTTCGAGACATAAGGATTTTATGTACTCGATCGTATCCCTGTTCTGGTTCACTATCATCGTAACCTCTTCTACAGGAAATATTTGCCGGTCACCAGAGGGACAGTTAGAAGAGTCTTTTACCGCTCTGATAAAATTTTCGTTTATTTCCTGCCGTATCTGATAAATTGTCTTAATAGGATCATCCATCTCATAATTGAGCCATCTCCTTATAGCTTCTGCAGATTTTTGCGTGTCTTTTAAAAGTTCTTGGATGTCTTTGAGCTTTTGCATACAGGAGGATTGAATTTCTGCGAGTTGTTTGGTATGTGCTCTCTCAACTCTAACCAGCTCTTTTGCTGCTCGACTGCGTTCTTGCTCTAATGCAAGCCGATGTCGGGAGCGTGAGTCTGAGAGTGAGAGCACTGTTTCATATAGCCCTTGAAGGCAATCATGTACCTCCTGCTTGCACTCCCGTTTCATGTTCCCCGCTTTCTCCAATGCCTCTTTCCCTGAGAGCAAAAATTCGTTAGCCCGCTGTGTTGCAAGATCCATGGAAATGCCAGCCCGCTTATATGCGGGGGGTAAAATACTAGATCTCTTACTGTTTTCACTGATGATGCTGTCAACATCTGACCATTCATCGTCAGTGCGTTGTACACGCTTGCAAATTCCTAGCAATTCCAATTCTGCCTCCATGTCTCTTGCAACAGAGCTATTTTGTTCCGAGACACTGTCGTGTTCCTGTGGATCATTTGAGGATGCGTTCTCTTGCTCTATTGGTTCCTTTGTAATAGCTATAGTATGCGAGTCTGGTTGATTACTACATCCAGGTTCTCCCAACATAGCCCTCTGATAGTCCTCCATATCCTCAGTGGGTTTTTTCGAAGAGGCTGCATTCTGTAAAAGCACTTTTTTCCGCAAAGTTGGTGCAGATACCGGGCTTATGCCTCTACCAGATCTAGAGGACTTGGATTTTGCCACTTCAGTACACGTCTTGCCCGACTTAGACGACATTTTTTTTTTTTATTTTTTATATAAATCTTTTTCCCCTTTTTTTCCCCCTTAAGAAGGCAGGACTCTGAAAGACAAAGAGAATGAGTCCAAGAACGGCTATCCTATCTTAAAGGATGTAGAAGTTACAGCTCTCCAAATATTTTCAAGATGGCCGACCAATATTTTGAAATCGTTTATCGAAGTTGTTTATTGGCTTAAAATAGCCGTGTTTGGGCTCGCCGGACTCATACACCTCTGGTCTATCTCATAAATAAGGTTGGGCGCTAAAATAATTTTGATTTTTCGTTAGTGACTTTCTGATGCTTACTGAATAGCCCTCTGAACGACAACTCCAATGAGCCCAGACTCGCATATATTTGCACAAACGGTTTCAATGTTACAACGGTTTAAATTTATCCAATATGGCGTCCATGAACACCGTTTTTCTCTATCTCGAAAACCGCTAACGCTAAACCCAGCGAGATTGGGCTCGTATGAAAGGTCTTTTCACCCCCTACACCTTTCTAATAATTTATTTTTTTATTTTTATATTATTTTAGTAATAATTCGTAAAAATTAGGTTTAAAATTGATAATTTCTAGACGGTTTAAGATAAAAATTTTGAAAAAGCGGTATTTAAATAAGAATAATATTACCTTAATTATAACTTAAAGAAAGTGGGAGAATTTTGCCCAGAAGTGGGACCACGTGTAGGTATAATTTAATAAAAAGTGTAATATCTCTGTATTTTTTCAACAGAAAAATCTGAAATTTACCAAAATGTTAGGATTTAATATGTTTTGTGAAAAGCAAAAATAAAAAGTATGTATTGTCGATTTAATTTGACAGTTATAGGAGGTTAAATGTAACAAGTTTTTAATAAAAGAAGTTTTTCGTAAATAAATAGCGAAAGGGTGAACCGAACCAAACAAATTAGGTGTCGTCTAAAAGGCCCCTTTGTAACGCATCCAAAATCAGTTTCAAAATTAGCCGCACGTGTTTATTTCCCAAACCACGTGCCACGTGGTTTTTGAGAAAACTCGCTATAACTCCGTGATTTTTCAGCGAAAAAATCCGGATCAAATTGCGAAATGTGTAGCTAATGGAGTGCCAAGTGATGCGCTAAAAAAGTTGGCAGGTTGCTGATCTTGTTTTTGCAGCGTTCGCAAATATGTGAAAAAATTTTACCTGTTTTTGGGTGTTTTCGGAGTTTTTCCACGAATTTCCAATCAGGCAAAATCCTGTACTTGCGAGCAATACGCACAGATCAAAGCTTGCACTTTTCCGCACACTTTGGTGTATAACACAGCACAATAGCACAAAAATAACCCACTTTCACGAATTTTTGAACACGGAGCTCTCTCAAAACGATGTTTACGGTACGGCGGATCGGTGGTTAGGTTAGGTTAGGTTAGGTTAGGTTAGGTTAGGTTAGGTTCCCCCCCGAACGGGTTCCCGCCTTGTCGTGGCGGGGGGGCTTAGTAGCCGTGGCTTGGTCAACCACGGTGAACGAAGAGGAACCCCTTGGCTGGCCCGAGGTGTAGGGCCGGCCCGAGGTGGCCACTCCGAGTGGGCTTGGGAAGCCCACTACGGATGTGTGTCGGGGGGCTGTGGTGAGAGGGGAGTCCGCAACCCTCTACCGCTGCAGCCGAGGTGGAGTCGCGGAGGAAGAGGAGTGTTGGTATGGCGATGCGCCACTCGCCCTATCCTCCGCGACTCAGACGGGGCCGCACCGTTGAATGATGCGGTGGTGGTGGGGCTGCGGGGGGAGAGGAGTGTCGGTATTGCGAGGCGCCGCTCTCCCTACCCTCCGCAGCCGAATCTTGGTTGGCGGCGGAGCCATAGACCAGATCCGCCGCTGGTGTCGGGAAGGCTGGTGCTTCTTAGTGCTGGTTTTTCCTGGCCCCATGGCCTTCGCGCGTCGGACGCGGGGGCGTCTGTTGCGCGTATGAAATTGGAGGCCGAGGAGGAGGGCGCGCCATGTGTTCTGGTGCGCCTTACCGGAGAAGGAGATGGGGGAGGAGTGGTCCTCTCCCGAGGAGGGGCCGCCATGGGGTGGCCGGCGCAGGTGGGGCCGCGGAAGTGTGCGAAAGCGTTCCCGTGGCCCTGCCAATATGCGACGAGGGTGGAACACCATGGGGTTTTAGTCGGTGCGAGTCCGACATAACCCGTCCTTGCCCCCGCGAGGCGGGTATGCGTAGGCATTTCCCCATGTAAAAAAAAAAAAAAAAAAAAAAAAAAAAAGGTTAGGTTAGGTTAGGTTAGGTTAGGTTAGGTTAGGTTAGGTTAGGTTAGGTTAGGTTAGGTTAGGTTAGGTTAGGTTAGGTTAGGTTAGGTTAGGTTAGGTTAGGTTAGGTTAGGTTAGGTTCCCCCCCGAACGGGTTCCCGCCTTGTCGTGGCGGGGGGGCTTAGTAGCCGTGGCTTGGTCAACCACGGTGAACGAAGAGGAACCCCTTGGCTGGCCCGAGGTGTAGGGCCGGCCCGAGGTGGCCACTCCGAGTGGGCTTGGGAAGCCCACTTCGGATGTGTGTCGGGGGGCTGTGGTGAGAGGGGAGTCCGCAACCCTCTACCGCTGCAGCCGAGGTGGAGTCGCGGAGGAAGAGGAGTGTTGGTATGGCGATGCGCCACTCGCCCTATCCTCCGCGACTCAGACGGGGCCGCACCGTTAATTGATGCGGTGGTGGTGGGGCTGCGGGGGGAGAGGAGTGTCGGTATTGCGAGGCGCCGCTCTCCCTACCCTCCGCAGCCGAAT